GGCCTGCAGCTCGTCAATCCTCCTTTTTTTTGTATGGATTTAATGCCTGCTAAATCCCGAAAACGACAAGCAGAAATGAATAGTAACTGGGTTTCGATGAATCTCCTGATATAAGGAACGATAATTTGTTTATCTGCTTGGAGTTGACGGAAATTGCTACTAAAAGTCAGTCTTCCTGTGATTGCAAAGTGCTGCAAAACTTTTGCTTGATGCCAATTATGGTGGAAATCGAGTACTTTACAAGGATTCAGGCTATGATATTTGCCAAACTTGCTCTAAAGAACCTCGGGAGGTTACGGGACAAGTCGAAGTGTCGTCGAATAGCGATTAAAAAAGACCATTGGTTACAAATGCGAACGAATGAAGATTAGGCCAGAAAGAAGCGAAAGAATGAAAGCAAACTTTATGAGGCTCTTCAGTTAGATGGAGGAATAAGATGATTGTCTATACGTTGCGAATGCTTTTTTACAGTATTTAGCGGAAGAGCTAAATCTATTCATGATGAAGGGGATTGAAGAAACCAGGATTTGCTAAAACACAATTTTTAGGAATTCTGAGGCTAGACGATGAAATGCCAAAACCAAATTTAAGAAGAGTATGTTGACGAATCCGAGTCACACGCATTGTACAGCATACCTTCGGTATACCAAAATGGACGAAGGGTCTTTTATGCAAATACGCATCCCGCACTGTGCTCAGCTCACATCTCCTCACACACGGAGGCTCAAGCTGGTTAGAAAGAGTGTGATAGACGTAAACTAGTTTCTGCATGACATGACAACTCTTCAGGACTACGAGCACTTGCAGAAAAAACGGAGAGATAGGGAGGTTTCAGTACCCGAAAGAAATGAATATAAAGGGAAATATCAAAGGAAGACAGGAAGGATAGAAGAATTGACAAGGGAAAACACTCGATGTAACGAAAATCCAGCAGTCTGTGAACGGAATATTGTCTACTATTCCCAAGCTGAGGAGAGGGGGGGACATGACCAGAGTAAAGTTGGAGAAAAAATGGGATCTTCTTAAGTCTTAGATATGCTTTTATGAACAAAAGCTGCTATATCGTGAAATTTGTAAGATATCTGTGAAACATAGTAGTATGATTTACATGCTGGACTATCTATCTATGTATAATGTGTTTGTACACCTGTGAACATGTATTTATATATATACGTATTCATATTTTCCAGATTAATAATAACTCAAATGACTTCTGCTCTATTTCCTTCCTACCCGACGTCAGCACTCGCCGAAATCTACTTCGCACTTAAGCACCTGGGGACAGGAAAACACACGCAACACACACACACACATACACACATTCGGCGTTTCATCACTACGGAGGATGTGCCGCAGTTGAGGTCCTGTTTGGGGATGAGCAGATTAGAGGTTCCCAGAAGGGATGAAGGAGCAGAAGGACGAGGCAAAATTTAATGGTTCGTCCCAGTGAATGTCTGCTTCTGCCTCATTTGTACCAACGATGGAGGTGTTTGTATGCGGGGCTCTGTATCTGTCTGCGGCAGCAACAGCGAACTTATCTGCCCCACTGTCCAGTCCTGCCTAAGGGGCCTCGTCTGTGGCCTTCTGGTCGGCATCTGTTGGTGTTGGTGCTGAGAATAGGGTAGGTGTAGTCGTTGCTCGGATGGCCGGTAAGCCGATGAAAGCGAGTCAGGCAGCAGAAGTTTGACTTGAAATTTGTCGTCTGCTGAAGCTGGAGACATCGCCAACTGGGCTGGAACTCGACTGGCTCTCTTGGCAACAGGCTCCTCAGGCGTGGCTATTTGGTGATGAAGTGAGTTGGAGATGCGATAACCTTCTGGTCTGGGGGCACTACGACTTAAGAGTCCACTATCGTCTGCCCTATTGCCAGCCCCAGCACCTCTTTCTCCCGACTTCCGCTCCATGTCTGCCGAGATTCTTCTCGAATCTGCATCTGCCCACCAGACATGTTCACGCCTGCTTGGCTCTCCCGTTTCCACCATCACGATGGAGGAGGCTGCCCCTCGTGGAGAACTTTTTATATGGAGCAAATGCGGCCGCCGATGTGTTGTGGGTTGGGGCCGGGGATGCCAGGTACCAGGTCTATGTGGCACTGGCGAATCGAGTTCGCGTTGTGAGTCGAGCAACAGTCTCGAGGAGGCGGGGGAGAAAATGTCTGAAAATGAAGATGAAGTTGGGGAGAGGGAACTTCCCGGATTCGTTGATGGTGGCGAGGGCAAATAATGGGAAGAAGTTGCCACTAAAGAGGAGGGTACTCCCGATAATTTAGGGGCTGAAGACGGCTGGGAATAAGTTCTACTCCAAGCGGCTGGGGAATGTCCACTCCATCGAGTCTGTCTGGCCGAGGGTGTCCGTGTCGGATGTCTGGCATTGAGACCGCCGATCGTGTGTAATGACCTGACAGGCGATCCGCCATACCGACCCATTGTCTGGCCTTCACTCAAACTGCTGGTGCCGGAGTTGGCGACAGAAGAGGCGGCCATCGGAGAGCCACTGCTCCACGTTGCGGCGTTATTGCCCAGGGTTGAGGCCAGATGTGAATTGCTATAGGAGAAACGCCAGGGTCGTGATGCATATCCAGACTCGAGCTGGCTCATCCTGCCAGAGGACTTGGATTGTAGTCGACGATTATTAGTGTGCTGGTTGCCATGGCCTTTGGAGATGCCAATAGTTCGTGGTCCAAACTCGAATCGGCTTCTTGGGGTGGACATTTGGTCAGATGATGAGGTCGAGCTGTAGGCTGATGAAATGGAATGGTCCACTGACAGGCCAGCAGCCGAGCTGGATAAATGTGAAGCTGGCGGTGAGACTTGGGGACCAGCGGAAGCGGAAGGGGGTAGGTAGGAGCGCAGGGTGGTAGATGAACCTTTCATCGAGACTGCTGCTAGCGGTTGATAGGGGACGGAACTGATATGGTGCTGAAGGGAGTCGTCTCGGATGTAGCCGAACGTCTGTGACTGGTAACCGTCGGGGTTCCAGATGGGCCCGACCAGCATTCCGTCACTGTTCACTCCGGACCCTGGCAACTGGAGGCTGGCAGAGTAGCTGTTGAAGGGTCGTCGAGGCTGCGGGCGCCTTCCCCCTCCGCTGCCACCTCCCAGAATCCAGCGACCATCACGCGGTTGCTGCACCATTCCGTCCTCGATGCCGGTTCCCCCGCCGGTATGAATGGTCGGCCAAGTCTCACCACTCCCCGACAGACTGCTTGCCCCCCCCTGTACCACGTAACCTTTAGGCACCATCTTGTACTCGGCCTTGAAGCCCTTGCCATTGATTGTGTCGTCGGAGGTAAAGCGAACCGTTAATGAGCCGGTCTCCGCAAGAAGTGGTTTTGATTTCTGGAAATAGAAGCAAACAAGAGCACCGAATTAACAACAACCACTTAGTTGAAGGATTCAAGTAAACTGATTTTGAATGATACATAATTTCATCTTAAAGCAGAACAGAGTTTCCATCAACTCAAATATACTATTTGAATGCATATCTTCTAGTATGGAAAATCGGATAGGTACATCTTTAAATATAATGAGGCTAACTCACATGCTTGCCACATAGTTTTGAGATCGGGTGCTTCTTCTCGTCAGTTCCATCAAAGATCTCCACAGAATCATAACTGAAATAAAACGTGGACAAAAGTTATAATGGACTATACACGAAAATCTTTGATACCAAATATATAGTTTTATAATGAACTGAAAGATGCCAACCAAGATAGTATATATATTCGCTAATTTCCCAGTTTTATCTATCTGGCTAAAGGTAGAGGAAGACAGAGTTTCTAACTTATGACACGAAATTCATGATGTATGATACGATTCAGAAAGAAAAAATGAGGTCGAAAGTAAGGAAAGCTATGCCTCTCGAAGGTCCTTTCATGATATGTCAAATCCAAGAGAGCGCTGCTCACAGTTGACGGAAGATCACTCTTCTAAAAGAAAGCAAAGATTTTACTTTTGCGGCTAGTCTCCAACCTAACTATACTGAGGAAACTAAATATCACTAATATAAAGTATTATTTTTATGGATTTTGATTGAAGAGTTTCATTGAAGATGATGAGGCATAGAGTCCAATCAAAAAGCCTAGTTCACAAGAAAAAAATAATACAAAGGGTTTGAATAAAAAATGGCATTATTTGTTGTTTGGTTTAATCAAACAGTTGTGAGGATACTGCAAAGACTAGACAAAAAAAATTAAATATAAAATAAAAACTTGGTCACTCAAGTTTGTTTGGAGTGCTTTTAGGATCTATATTGGAATTTTACCACAATAATATGAGTAAGCCTCACGATGCTCAGCATCAGCCTCAAATTGATTTGAAACCTGGCTGCGTGCATTCACCGCTAACACATCAGCCATCCACCCGACAGCCATGGGTGCCGTTGTGT